AAAAAAAAAAAAAAAAAAAAAAAAAAAAAAAAAACATAAACTAAGAATAAAAAAGTGGTAAAAGAGGAAACGAAAGCAAAAGAAAGAGTGAAGGAAACGAGAAATAAAATCAGAGAACAAATTAAATGTTAGGAGCAAAAAAAAAAGTTATGTAAAACGAAGAAAAAAACTTGACTTTTTTCTTTGAAAAAAAAAAAACCGTTATTGATGTTTCTTTTTTTTCCGCTCAGTTTTTACTGAATTCACTTTTTTATAGAAATTTTTTTTTGCCAAAGAGAAAAAAAAAATTTTATCGCTTTGTAAAACGTCAACTTTCAAGGACCTTTCTTCCAAAAAAATCAGCATCCCTCTTTTACTTCGTCCCGCTTCCTCTTCGTCTATCTGTCTTTGTCGATGATGTTTTTTCCTCCTCTGTTTTTCTATTTTTTTTTTATTTTGTGACATCCGGAGTAACAGAAAGATCGTTGGCATCGTCCTCATCCAACAACAATAACCAAAAAAAAGGAAAAAATATAATTCTTATCCAAATAAAACAGAGGAAAAAACAGGAAATTTTCTGGGTGAAGAGTCCCACTGGACACCCACGGTGAAAATAGACAAAAAAAAGGAGGAGGATGAAAGAAAAGAAAGCTGAAAGAAAGAAGAGTATGACACTTCTAATTGATAATAAATTTAGAAAAAACAAAGTTCCCGACCATAATAAAAATTCTCCCCAACATGTAGACACACATAAATACGCAAATTCATCAATGAGTAGGTCCCGTAATTGCTTCACATGATAGATTAAACAAAAAGAAAAAAAAAAGCCGAAACAATAAAACAAATGGCAAATCAAATGAACTTTTAATGATGTTTATTTGCGAGAACGGAGATGGATAATCGTTTAAAGTTTGGATGTTAGTTGTCTGTTCCTAGGCTTGCTAGATCCTTTTTGTTCAGTTTTGTTTCTGTAACACTTTACTGCTGTCATTTTCAGAACACTGTCCAGCAACTGGTACTGGTGGCGGTGGCTGTGAATCAGAATGTGGATCCGATGAAGTTGACGATGATGGCGAAGAAGCCAGCGACGATATTGGTAAGTTGATGTCAATTTGCCAACCAAATGCTATGTATCAAGTTCACTGCCCGTTTGTAAGTGGCAGATACAGTAAACGGCAGCGATGTTGACTTCATTTATTTCTGTGCCCTTTTTTGTTTCTTTTTTAAAACTTAGGAGAAAGAGAAAAGGAATGAAAAAAAACAGGTTTTTTTCTCCCCCGATGTTTAGAAGAGTCAAATTCAAGTGGTCAGCAAGAAATGAGCGGTGAATCTGTATGTTCAGGTAAAATTGATGATTTATCGAGTTCAGCAAAACGGCGTGGACCACGAACGACGATTAAAGCAAAACAGGTTTACTCCTTTTCTGTAAGGAAGCCTACAAAATTAAACTCATCTTACAAACAAAAATAAACTGTACAGACTTAGACTGCAATTTAAAAATACTTTTCCTCCTCTGTTTTTCAGTTAGATACGTTAAAAGCTGCTTTTGCATCAACCCCAAAACCCACCAGACATATTAGGGAACAATTGGCACAAGAAACCGGTCTTAATATGCGAGTGATACAAGTTGGTTTACTGTTTTTTTTTTTCTAGGCATTTTTTTTATTGTCATATATTCATCAAATTATTTTTCACAAACAACAGATGACATTTCCTTCGCTTTCTGATTGAATCGCCTGTATTAGTTTTGTAGAAAAAAAAAAAAGAACACCGTCTTTTTTGTTTTATTTCTTTGGTTGATTGGTTGATCGGTTCTTTGGTTGGCCGTAACAGAACATCAAATACTTACGTTCGTATCTGTAAACCAACAACAAAAGGTTAACAGCAGAAAAACAACAAGACACCAACAACAAATTTGCATAAACTCTTACCGTCGGATTCATTGAACCTTTTTATCCCGGTCTTATTTAACTTTTAATTTAAATCTGCTTAACATTTCAAAATAATATCTGCAAAAAATTTTCTTGTTGTTGCCAATTTTTTAGCTAATATTAACTGTAAATTTTGATAAAGCAAAAAGAATGTTACAGTACAATTGTGTGTTACATCACTCTCCGATACATTAAGGAACAATGTGATGGTGAAAGGAAAAAAAATAGTTGAACAATCTTTGTTTTGTTAATTGTTTAGATTTTTTACAGTTTACAACAAATAACCATTTGGCATCGAACATTAACGACAGTTTATGTGTAAAACCGTAATCATCATTTTGACCGTGAAAAATAAAAAAATTTTTTTCTTGATATTTTAAACAGTTTTCTGTAGCGTTTTTTTCTTTCTTCTTTTTTATTTGCCAATAACTGTTCAATTTT